CTTTCCAATGTCCTTTATGTCTCTCCGTGCCTGTCATTTAGCTCCCAATTATTAGAGAGAACATGTGGCGTTTGTTTTTCCATTCCGGACATACTTCACATAGGATAATGGTCTCTAGCTCCATCCAAGCTGCTGCAAAAGACATTATTTCATTCCTTTTTATAGCTGAGTAGTGCTCCATGATGTGTGTGTGTGTACACACACAATGCGTTTTCTTTATCCACTCATGAATTGATGGGCAATTAGGTTGATTCCACATCTTGGCAATTGTGAATTGTGCTGTGATAAACACTCTAATGAGGTGGCTTTTTGAAAAAATGTCTTCTTTTCCTTTGGGTAGATACCCAGGAGTGGGATTGCTGGGTCGCATGGTAAGTCTACATTTGTTTCTTTGAGGAATCTTCATACTGTTTTCCATAGAGGCTACACTAACCTGCAGTTCCACCAACTGTGTATGAGTGCTCCTTTCTCTCTGCATCCACGCCAGTATCTGTCGTTTTTTTCACTTTTTAGTAATGGCCATTCTGTCAGGGGTATGGAGGTATCTAATTGTAGTTTTAATTTGCATTTCCCTGATGATTAGTGATGTTGAGCATTTTTTCATGTATTTGTTGGCCACTTGTATACCTTCTTTTGAAAAACTTCTGTTCATGTCTTTTGCTCTCTTTTTAATGGGGTTGTTGTTTTTTTCTTGCTGCTTTGTTTGGGCTTTTTGTCGATTCTGGATATTAGACCTTTGTTGGATGTGCAGTTCGTGAATATTTTCTCCCATTCTGTAGGTTGTCTATTAACTCTGTTGATTATTTCCTTTGCTGTTCAGGAGCATTTGAATTTAAGTCCCTTTTGTTTATTTTGTTTTTGTATCTGCCTTTGGGGTCTTAGTCATAAATTCTTTGCTAGGCCAATGTTGAGAAGAGTTTTCCGTATGTATTCTTCTAGAATTTTTAAGTTTTCACACCTTACATCTAAGTCTTTCATCCTTCTTGAATTAAGTTTTGGATATGGCAAGAGATAGGGGTCCTGTTTCATTCTTCTGCATGTGGTTATCTGGTTTTCCCAGAACCATTTATTGAATAGGGCTTCCTTTCTCCAGTGTATGTTGTTGTCTGCTTTGTCAAAGATCAGTTGGTTGTAGGTACCTGATTTTATTTCTGGGTTCTCTATTCTGTTCCATTTTGCTAGCTTTTCCTGTTTATAGTTTTGAGCCCTTGTTATAAGATAAGCACAAAGCAATTAGCAATTAGTTGATGCTAATTCTAATGACTTCCAAGAAAAACCCTTTTTTAGGATTTAGGTTTAGGATTTTTAGATGGAATTATTTTTAATAAGTTTGAGAACCTTGACATCTTTATGTTCAATTTTTCCATCTAGTAAAAATATAACTATTCCTCTTAATTATTAGAATTAAGTCTCTTAATCAAGGTTTTAAAATTTTTAATACATTTCTCATTGCGTTTGTAGGTATTATATATTTGTTGCTATTTGAATAGCTTTTCTTTTTCATTATACTATCTATCTGGTTATTGCCAGTATATAGGAATATTATTGCTTTTTAGGTATTTATCTTATTCCAAGCCATTTTATGACTCTTTATTAGTTAAGAAAGCTTTTAGCTTATTCTTTTAATTTTTCTAGATATATACTTGTGTGGTTTTCAAGTACTTTAGTATTTTAATTCATAAAATTTACTCCTTTTGTTTCACAACTTATTGCATTAGCCAGAGAATCGAAGATGATAATGATACCAAAGGACATTCTTTGTGTTTGTTTCTGATTTTGAATGTTTACTCATTAAGTATAATTTTTATTTATTTTAAGCCAAGAGCATCTTTATCACATTGAAAGGGCATCCTCCTATTCCTATTGAAATGTTTACTTTATACTTAGGAAAAAGTGTTGATTTTATCAGATGTAGTATCTATGAAATATCACAGAAGGTTAATTATTGTTGAATCAGTGAATACTCAGTGGATAATGTTCTCCTTGGAAATCAATCACTGTGGTCAGCTGACTGGCTCTGCTAACAGTGACAAATGCGAAAATGGTGCCTTTATGAGTTCGAACATATCAGGGCCAAACCAAATGCACAAGAGTGTGGGCCAACACAGAAGCAAAGGTTGTAGGAGTAGGAATCCTCCTGAGTTTCTCTCCTTGGGCACATTCTCCAAAGTTGGTGGCTTTGAACAATTCTTTAAGGTAATTACAGTTGATATCACAGAAAGACATTAGAGGAAGTATATGTAATATGGGGAAAAAAAATCAATGGCCCGCTCATGAAACATGAAATTAGGAAGTTGTCCAAGGTGGTTTCTTTGTATGTGCTCCTCCCCTTCCCTCCCCAACCCCCTCAACCTCCTGCCCCCACACCCCACTGGCTCCCACTAGAAGCCTGCTTATGCCTTTGGGCTTAAGGCTGACAGTGGAATTTCAATGCCATGGAACTTGCCTTTTAAAATGCCAAGCCCAAAAATATCCTCTCAAATGTAGACAAATGAACTGTTAACATCAGTGTCTATACCAGGTTCTTACTGGCACTCTAGCCACTTGTATGACCTTTCAACACAGTATTTTAAAAAATGAGCAGTGCTTTCCTCTTCCCCTGGCAGCTCAGAATAGCTCTGCTTCCTTTCCTATAAACAAGTCATATCTCTGGGAATTTCTAAAGACGAATATTGTCTGCTCAGAAGCCATGACTCACACCATTTCCTGCCAGTCTTCACAAATTCAAGAACACCTCTTGAGGAAAGAATCCCAGACAACAAGAGTGGGCACAGAAAGCCTCAGATTCCTTCATTTCAAATGCAGGAAACTGAGAGACAAAGGAAAATCCCAGCAATCAGCAATCATCCCTGGCCTTGGCATCGCCTTCTGGACTGAGCTGAGGCTTGTGTGGGTCAGAGCAGGAGGGGAAGCCCACCTGGAAACTTGTCCAGGCATGTCTTCAGCCCTTGAGTCACCCACCCACCCCCTCTCTGAAAATTTTCCTAGCTCAGCTTCCTCCTGATTCTGAGGGTAGAGGTGCCCTGATGTGGGGATCCCCAAGGAAATCACCAGGGTTTCACACACGTTGGAGCGGTGGGACTTCCTAGCTGCTTTTATCAGGAACTTTGTGGCCAAAAACAAAAAATCTTCTTTCTGCACATTCTCTTCCCAGTGCTTCCTCTCCTCCTCCACCCCAGCCCTGTGCTCTGATTCTCTTCTTTAGTGCCACATCATTGTCCTCAAATTTCCTAAATAGTCAAGAAACAAAGGAAAAAAATGTTTATTTGGCTTCTTTCAGCTCAGCAGTATAAACGCCTCCACATATGTGTCTCTGTGTGTTTTTGTGGTATGTGTGTCTCTGTGTGTTTTTGTGGTATGTGTGTCTCTGTGTGTTGGTGTGTGCATCATACATATGTGAAATATAATACAAGGATGTTGGTTGAAGAGACTGGATAGGACAAATTGGAAAAGTTCTGGGTGAATAGGATGCTGCTTCAGTTATACCCATTTCTTGGCTTCATACTGATGAAAGGTCAAAGGATTGATCAGCATATGGCCCTGCACATGCACTGTGGGGGGAAGTTTAATCCCTGCTGGCTGATAGCGTGGCCTGATACCGATGTCACTAGAACCAGGACACTGGAGGTCTGAAGTATCCAAAACGACATGATCCTGGGGACAGCAGTGCTGAACATGTATAGAGAGTGACATGTGTGTTGGGCATGGTGGTAAGTTTTTCACATGCATTTTCTCACTTATCACAACCTAATAGTTTCGAGGATTTCACAAATAAGGAATTAGGACTGGAGAAATTAAGTCAGTTGCTCAACATAAAAAAAAAAAAAGTCATGGCAAAGCTGGAACTTAGACACATAACTGTTCAGAAGCCACAGTCTGGGTTCTTAGTCACTGTGACATAGAGCTACCCAAAGAGAGTAAGATGGGATGGGAACGGCAAGAGAGAGAAAGACAGAGAAGAGGAGGACAAGCATGTGTTTATTACCCTGACATGGTTTAATAATGTCATTTCTCCTCTACTCTCTAGGGTGACCGACTTATCTAGGTGTGCCTGAGACCATCTTGGTCTTAACACTGAAGGTCTTACATTCACTGAGGAACTCCCTCAGTCTTGGAAAAACCTGGACAGTTGGTTGTTCCATTGCTTACCATCTAGAAAATTGCCGCTACAGATCACGGGGATTGTTAGGAGATAAAGCAATCCATTGATGACCTGCAGGACCTGGGTTATTGGTGGATACAGGAAATTTATGTCATTATGAATATTTTGTATACCTCTCACAGAGCTCTTGCCATTTTGGGCCTATAAAGGCACATGAGAGTTGTTGACTTGATTTATAAAGAATAAGATGGTTTATGTGTCAATATCTGTGGGATGAACACAATTGCAAATAATATGAGGTTAGATAAAACCTAAACCATGAACAGTAAAGTCTTTTTAATATAAAGTTGTTTTCTATATGAATGTGCAATTTCTTTGAGTAACACTATATTTGGCTAGTTTTTTTTTTTTTTTTTTGCTAGTCTGAGTCCAGGAGTATTCACTTTTTATAATAACTGTGCTCCTGAAATGCTCTATGATAAAAATTTATTTTTATAAATCATGTTTTCAGTGCATTAGGAGGGTGAATTCTTTTGTAGAACCAATATGGACCCCCCATTTGGCTGGCTTTGCAAATGTTAGTTTTAGATATATAGTTAATATGCTGACTGCAAGTGGAAAGTACCCAAGCCAAAACACTTGAGGAACAATAAACGTAAAGAGTAATACTAAATTGGTGGATCTGGTTCAGCCCTGATATGGGTTTAATCTTCAACAAAATAATTTCCCGTTTTCTCTGGAAATAGAAAGAGCCAACTTCCCTTTCTCCTGTGGCTGTCTCTTTCACCCCAATCTAAAAACTCCCCTATTCAGACACTTGTTTCCTCTTAAGCTCACAAAGTTTTTTTAGTGCCTGTCTTTCTGATGTGATGTATCTGGGTTTTGTTTTCTTTTACAGCTTTCAAAGAACTCCAGGAAGTGGCTGCAGAGCAAAGTAGGAGGCTGATACTATAAGGAGTTTCTCCTGCAGTAATGGTCTGGGGCGAACGACACAGTGTCAGTTACAAGCAAACCCTGAAATGGGCTCAACCTGCAGCTCCGCTCTTTCCAGTTACTTGATGGGAGATTTGTTCTCCCATGTGAAGAGAGGTACTAAGATCTTGGACAACCTCCACAGTAAAACCCAATCAGACAAACAAACAGACAAACAAACACCTGGTTTCCAGTGGCATCAATGAAAGGGAAATATTTGGTTTCGAACTCCTGACCTTGAGCAATCCGCCCGCCTCGGCCTCCCAGAGTGCTAGGATTACAGGCCTGAGTCACCACGCCTGGCCAAAAGGGAAATATTTGGGACAAACCCTCTCCTCCTCCCACTTTGTCAAAGCCACAGCGGAGACCTTGGGACATTCATGTGGAACAGACACTGCTCAGGTCTGAGCAGTGCTGATCTCTTCGGAGGGTCCTTCCTGGCCTCCCTTACCCAAATGTTCTTATATTTGATTTAAAGTCTCCTTCAGTTTAAATCAACTTGACCCAGGCAGGGTAAGGTTATCTTTCTTTTTCACCTCTCCTTCAGGTGAGAAACGAGGCTGACAGATTTATGGGTTTTGGTTAATTCTGTATTAAATGACTCCCTGGGATGCGATTCCAGGAAAAAGAGGCTTTGAGGGATAATGTCTTGGAGAAAGTGCTGACTGGGCAGAAGTATCCATTGTGGTGAGGGATATTCCATGTTAGGCGTTTCTAGAAGACTAGACATTGTCAGAGAAATGTCCATAGAAAGGTGTATATGACGGTAAAATGTCTTTCACCAGCATTACAGTACACTCATGGATCACTTAATGACGGGACATGTTCTGACGAATGCATTGTTAGGGGATGTTGTCATTGTGTGAACATCATACAGTGCATTTACACAAACCTAGACGGTGTAGCTTACTACACACCTAGGCTGTCTGGTTTAGCCTATTGCTCCCAGGCTACAAACTTGCACAACGTGTTACTGTACTGAATACTGTAGGCTATTGCGACACAATGGTAAGTATTTGTGTATCTGAACATAGAAAAGATACAGTAAAATAGGGTATTATAACCTTATGGAACCACTCTCATATACACGGTCTGTCACTGACGGAAACACTGTAATGAGGTACAAGACTGTATTTATGGATGAAGAGAGAAGCACTTCTCCTTTCCATTGTTCTTGCTTGTTTATTGTTTCAAACAGGAGAAGTAGTGCCGAAACCTGCTGGAGAACTTGTCAGACTTCTTTGAGAATCTGAAATACTTTTTGAAGAACAATTCCTTTTTATGACATTCTTTATGTCTCTTGAAGGAACAGGAAATAATGACTATGAGTATTTCATAGGGTGTGGGAGGAGGAAGGAGTCTCCATGGTGTGGAAATACAATTGCTTCATTTTTAGAAATAAGGAAACTGAGGCCTGGAGAAGTAAAGGAAGTCATTGTGGATCCCCCAGCAAATTTGCATGTATAACCCAGGCCAAGGCCCAGTTTCCCTTCCTGGCACCTTACCTGGGAACTATCTCAAGATGACACATTCCAAGCCCCAGAACCAAATGCATCAACCTCCGCCTCTCCCTGTGCCTCAGCCCATTGTTCACCTGAGCTTTGTTCTGTGACCGCCCTGACACGGCAGGTTTGCCACGGTGCCCCTGGGCTCCTGAGAGAGTGTGAGTCACAGGCTCTTGCCCCAGGGGCTCTGATTCATTTCTAGCCACGATTGCATCAGTGTGCACATGTGCCTCTTCGTGAGCGACGAGGGTCCGTGTCACATGTGTGGGAGTTTGCCAGAGCTGCACCCTCTCGCCCCCTTGCCAGCTACGGCTAAAGAATAAAGCATGGAAAGAGACATCCACTGGGGGCTTTTTACAGACTCGAGGTCCTGTCCTCTTAAAGATTATAAATGCAGCTGTCAGAAACATTAAGAATTAAAATCATGATTACATTAGGTGTGTGCTTTGCTTTCCACTGAGCCTCACTGCATTGAATCAGCGAATAAAGTGAAGGCGGCATTTTAACCGTCTCCTTGCAAAAGTGGTTGGGCAGGGTACTCATGCTTATTGGGGAAGTGGATTGCAATCTTGAGATAAAAGGTTTTATGTGAGGGAAAGGTTATTGTTATTATTTTGAACTTTCAGAGTGGCTTCCTTTGTGCATATTTATGATATTAATATAATCTTAATAGAAGGCTTAATGTGCAAGTTGCTAAGCACATTGCCCAGTGGAAAAAAAAATAAATTATACAACCACTGCAATGATCAGGCAGTTTTCCCCTGCATTTAATTATCTCTTACTTAAATGGAAAGACTTGAAGAAATCTTAAAAATATGCTGGAAAAGTTTCAAGAATAAAATAGTTTAATTTTAAGATTTGTTTCAGGTAAAGACCAAATCATATTGACCTTTAAAAAATATAAAAGAGATTAAAGTGACATTAAAATTGTTCGTAATTGTGTGATATTTGTGTGGATGTTAAAATGTATAAGACAGAAAACTGAAGTACATACATTCTTGAAAACAGTGTGTGAAAAAGCAAAGGATTGGGGGGTCTTTAGTGAAATAAATCTGAAGTTGGCCTAAACCTATTTTAGCACTAAGCTTTGATGTAGTTTTATGCACTGTAAATAACTTGAATAGAAAAGTTTAGGCACTGTTCTTCTTAAATAAGTGAAACTGTGGCTTTGGCCCTGTAGCTCATGTTTTATCAATTCATAAGAAAAGCAGGGTGAGGCCCACTGAGTCACTGGTTTGAAGTGTATCGTATAAGCAGTTTCCTGCTATGTAAGTCTGTCTCATACAACTCTGTGAATTGGTTCAGCTACATATTTCTGATCTCTAGCTTTTGCAGGGTTCTTACTGCAGCCTATAATCATATGCTTCTTTCTCCCAAGAGAATATCAAAGATTTTCACGGTTCTCACTCTGAACAACCTTATACTTGGCTTCTGATAGTACCTTCTAATTCACAGAACAATTACAGCCTACCAGGCAGGAACTCTCTCAACTTCTTGCTGCCTACCCCAGAAACAGTGACAGCTATTCCCTCCCTCCCTCCTTTCCTTCCTTCCTTCCTCTTTCCTTCTTTTCTAAACCCTCCAGTGTCCAGACCTAGCCCCTCCACATATGCTCTGGGGTGCATCACGCCCACTCCCATCTCTTCAGGAGCTTTACTCCCTGTATTTAGTGCTTTCAATCCCTCCTTTTCTATTGGTTTTTTGTTCTCAGCACATAAATATATTCAATTCTCGCCCATCTTAAAAAATATATAAACAACTATTCCTTGACCTAGAATGCCCTAGCTACCACCAAGACTCCTTTCTATATACGTTCAGCATAGTTTATACTCGTTGCTTCTACTTCCTTATCTTTCATTTATTACTTAATTTAGTTCAGCCTCACTCCCATCCCCATCCTTCTCCAGGAAATGCGCTTCCCAAGATCATCCAGCATCTTTTAAACTCTGCAATAGCCTTTTTGCTGGGCTTCAGATGACTTGACATTAGGGTAAGTGCTTCTGTCATCCTTGACTCCTCCCTTCCTCTCACATCCCACATCTGGTCCCACAGCAAATTATGTCAGCTCTACTTTCAAAATCTATCCAGAGTTCAACTACTTCGCACCATCCCACTGCCACCTGTTCCTAGTTACCATCACTTCTCGCCTGGAGTATTGCAATGGTTATCAACCCACAGCCAAAGTTTAGTGCTTAAGTTAGATCATGCCACTTCTCTCCTCAACACCCTGCAGTGCTTCACATCTCACACAGAGTAAAAGCCAAAATTCTTAATACAACCCACAAGGTTCTATGTGATACCTCCTTGTACCTGTCTGTTCTCATCTTCTATCATGCCTTCACCTTCCCAGAGCCAGGGCCGGCTTGAGGCAAGAGAGATGCCAAGAATCTCTGATCAAGATTTAAGAATTAAGAAGGCACTATTGACAGCTTTTACAAATCCTTCTTCTTAACGTTCTTCTTTCCTTGCTTCTGTTGCTTGGTTTGCCTTCAATTTCTCCGACTTCCTCCTTAATTCCATATCTCCCACCCCTGTCTAAGCAGCATGATATAGTCAGATTTTTGCTATGCAGATGCAGAGTTAGATTGCTTGAGTTTAATTTTTGCTTCTAGAACCGTGTGGCCATAGACAAGTTATTTAAACTTTCTAATCCTAAATTTCTCCATTTGCAAAATTTAAATAGTAATGCCTACCCCATGGTGTCATTATGAAGTTTAAATAAGCCATATAAGCATTTAGTGCAATACCTGATATATACCAAGTACACAATAAATATTAGTTATTAGCAATAGTACTAATATTACTCTTGTATGCATTACCTTAAAGGCCACCACCCACTCTGTTAAGCCATTTGAGTTTTTCCAAAACTACTGCAAAATAATTTGTGGTACATAAGTGAGTGATTTTGTCTCTAAAGGTAGAGAAGAGAATGGCATATATTACATTTTCTTTCTTGTAGGAAAAAATGTTTCAGGTCACACTTTTGCCAAGAAGCTGAAAAACAAAGTTAATTGGAACATTATTCCTGGAAATACAGGGGAACAGGACATTAGCAAAATTATTTCATCGAATCACATGTTGAAGTCACATAAGATCAATGACATAAAAAATGGAAGAGAAATTACAATCACATGTGTGAAGACTAGCAGGTATTTTTCCTTTGCACATCAGGGGGTTGTATAGTGGCACATGTGTGGAATACACATATAAGGGGGAAGCGCTCGATGACTTTAAGTTATTTATATTTTGCTAAAACTCCATGATACTGGGAGGGAGAATTTTGTTTAGTTAACAAATATTTTGTGAGTCATACTGTGTGATGCAGTGCTAGGATGGAGACTGATGGAACACTAGTTACGGGCTCAGCAAGGAACTAGGAGTTCCTTCTGCCTGGAATACTTTGTCCCCAGATTTTATCGTGTCCATTTCCTTCTTGTCACTCGGGTGCCAGCTCCCTAATCAACCGGAGTCAGAACTCACTACAGTCATTCTCCATCTCATTACCCTGTTTTATTTTTTCTCAGATTTTATTGCCCCGAAATTATTTTGTTTTCTTTTTGCTTTCTTGTTTACCATCTGTCCTTTTTCTCTGGGCTATAAGTTCCATGAGAGCATAGTCTTGTTTGTCCCTGGAACCTTTATGGTGCCTGATCCTTGAAAACATACTGTCAACATTTGCTGAATGAGAGGTTTACCTGGATGCCAAGCCACACATAATTTTATTTCGAGAGAACAACTGGTAATTAACGATATGCTCCTTCTCTTGATTGTGTGTTGAAGGAAATTGTTAAAATTTGTGAATGTGATAAAATCATGGGCAAAGGGCTGTGATTTCAGGATGCTGTGAAAAAGAAAGATAATATTAGCTCTCCCTATAAAGGCCCGTGGGATATCAAGCACAATATTGTCATACCAGCATTGCAATGAGGGAAGAAATGGAATCAGCTTTTTTACAAATTAATGAAACAATACAAACCAGCACCCAGAGAGAATAATGTAATAAATATCCATACATAGATCCACCATTTAGGTTTTTAAAATGTGTTGATATATTTCATAATCAGTTAAAGTTCCCTATAAATTCCTCCCAGATGCCATTCACATCCTTCCTCTTTCAGAGTTTACTACTGTGGCAGAGAGTTAGAGCTCACTAAATATCTGTTAATTTTGAGTCATATGAAGTTTGGCCAACAAACTATCAAGGGAAATAATTTCTGGATCAAGGCATTAAAAGGAAGAGTGATCTCCTGCCTTCTCTTAGGTGGTGCATCTCAGAGGCCACATGTCCCAAGTGTCAAGACAAGAGGGCTGCCTGACTCACATCAGATTGAGCAAGGAATAGGTCTTTGTACTTTTAAACTGCTGGATTTTGAGATGTGTTTATTGTCATTCCGTAGCCTGTTCTATGTGGACTTATAATATAGAAATCACTGTGCTCCATTTGGGGTTTATTATTACTATTACTGTTTTAATAATATTACTTCATGTATGTAATTGACAGATAATATACAGGTGGTTATCATGTCTTTAAACATGATAGAAATGGTATGTTACTCTAATATAATCATGCAACTTTCCCCCTCAACATGAGTTTTTGGGGATTTATTCATGTTGATACATGTAGGCTCAAGTTCATTTATTTGAAATCTATTACAATGCATCATCCATTCTCCTGTTGATGGACATTTAGGCTACTTTTTTTCTATTATAAACAAAACTGAAATGAATAGCTTAGTTTATGTCTCTTCCTGCACATGATAAAAGCAGCACTTGCTTCAATTTTAGCAGAATTCATGTTGCTCAGATAGGGGCTGTTTTCAAACTGATGTCTTATCCTTCCTAGTGCCTCAAACTAGATCCTGTTCAGACATACTATAACAAGTTAGTACAAGTTTATTTTGGTGCAGAGATATTTTGAAATCCATGCATAGGGTTTTTATAATATGAATTTTTCTATGAACTTTTTGAAGACCCCTCATATGTTTCTGTAAACAGAATATAATTAGAACTTGTTTTATTTTTTTGTTAAATAATTATCTTTGAGAATCTCTTCCTTTCAATTGGATTATTTAATCCAGTCACACTTAGTGTTATCATTGATATGGTTAGATTTACATCTGTCATTTTTATTTTTCATATGTCTCATGTTCATGTCCTTTTTCCTATTTCTCCTTTATTGTTTTCTTTTAAAAAAGTAGACTTCATTTTTTAGAACTCTTTAGATGAACAGAAAAATTGAGAACATAGCAGAGTTTCCATACATCCTGTCCCCAATTTTCTCTGTTAACTTCTTGCATTAGTATTGCACATTTATCACAATTAAAGAACTGATATTGACATGTTGGTTATTGACTAAATTCCGTAGTTTGTTCAGATTACCTTAGTGTTCTTTAGTTGAGGTGAAATATATGTAACATAAAATTTACTATTTTGACCACTTTTACGTGTAAAGTTCAGTGGCATTGGTACATTCACATTTTTGTGCTGCCATCACCATCGTCTGTCTCTTGAACGTTTTCATCTTACCCAACTGAAACTCTGAACCCATTAAACTCTAAGTCCCAATTCTCTTCTCCCCTCATCCCCTGACAACAACCATTCTATTTTCTGTCTTCATGAGTATACCTGTCTATACAATATTTGTCTTTTTGTGTATGGCCTTTTTCACTTAGCATAATGTCTTCAAGGTTCACCCATGTTGTAGCCTATGTAAGAATTTCCTTCCTTTTTAAGGCTGAATAATGTTCTATTGTCTGCATATACCACATTTTGCTTATCCATTCATTCACTGATGAACATTTGGGTTGTTTCCACATTTTGGTTATTGTGAATAATGCTGGGTGTGCAAATATCTGTTTGAGTCTTTGCTTTCAATTCATTTGAATATATACCTCATATTTCCTTAGTTTTTATGAAATTTTTTGTTCCAGGATCTCATTCATGTTATGTTACATTTAGTTTTGGTTTGCATGACTTCTTAGGCTCCTCTTGGCTGTGACAGTTTCTCATACTTCTCTTGTTTTTGATGACCTTGACAGTTGCAAGATCAAAGAGTACTGGTCCAGTATTTTGTAGGATGCTTCCCTATTAGAATTTGTCTAATGTTTTTCTTGGTTAGACTGGTGTTACAGGGTGTCAAAGGAAAAACCACAGAGGTTAAGTGCCATTTCCATCAAATCCTATGAAGGATAGAGGGTATCAACATGATTAATCACTGTTGATATTTGTCTTGATCACTTGGCTGAGATAGTGTAAGTTACCCCCTTCTCTTCCATCTAGTACTCTTTGGAAGGAGGTTGTTGCTAGGAGTTCATGGTTAAGGACCAGGGATTTATGGTTCCTTTATTAAGGGCAGAGGATATACATAAATCACTTGAAATTCTCCTGCTAGGTTTGCCTCTTTTCCTCCCTCTTATATATTTATTCAATCATTGTTTTCGATCAGTATGGACCCATGGATATTTATTTTATACTGTATGTTATAATGCATTATTGCTTTATTTGTTTTGTTGCTCAAATTATTCCAGCTTTGGCCACTGGGAGCTGTTTCAGTTGACTCCTGTGTCTCTTTGATATACCCCTATCAAAGTAGTGGTTTTATTTGTTTTTTTAGCACTTTCTTATTTTCTGGCACCACAAGATGCCCTGGGCTCATCTTGTATATATCTTGCCCAAGTCCTAGAATCAGTAATTTCTCCAGGAGACTCTGTTTCCTTTTATTGGAGGATGGTATTTGAAACCAAGATCTGGGACTATGTGTACTCATTACTGTTGTTTCTTTGCATGTCTCATAATTTTTTGCTGAAACAGGAGATGTTGATAATAATTACAGCAATTCTGGATACTGATTCCCTCCCCTCCCCACCCCCCAGGAGTGGTGGTGGTGGTTGTTTGCCTTGTCATGTGTTTGTTTAGTGACTTAACTGAATTAATTCTGGGATATCTATTTCCCCCCCAATGTGCAGCCTCTGATGTCCATGCTTAGATTTTTTTCCTCCTTGTTTTTATCTTTTAGCTTGGCTACCTAAGGATCACCCCTTGGTCTGGGCTGCCAGTCACTTACTGGTCGAATGTTGTACTTAAGCCCCGTTAGCCAGTTAGATTTTTACTCTTTATTGTTAGATGTGTTTGTGACTTGCAGGCTGCCCTCACAGTTCAGGGAATTTATGTCTATTGCCCCTATGTTGGAGGTTCTTTCTCTGATTGCTCCCCAGGGCTCAGCCTACCACCCGAAGGACATACCAAAATCTTCCAGTTTGCCAGGGGTGAGTGCAATTTTATTTTTAAGCCTGGCTTCCCAGGAGTCACTCCTGGGTCAGGATAGCTTATTGTCTAAGTCAGTGTTTGGTCAGGGTTGTGTTTAAGCCCCTTGTGCCAGGGAGGATTCCACCCTGTGCTGTGATCCCAGGAGGTCTTTTCCCGGCTGCTCTTTGCCTGGTTTTCTCTATTAAACTTCTGGCTGCTCTGCTGTTTTGCTTGTATCCTGGAGCTACCAGCCTCTTCGTAATTACTCTCCACCAAGATCTCTCTTGTTTTCGACGACACCCTTAGGCATGGAGTTCTCCATCCTCCATTCCCTCTCTCGCATTGCTGTGGAGCTCTTTATTCCTGGGGGGATAGGATCCCAGGGCAGGGCCCCTGTGCCACTGCTCCGGAGCTAGGAGTTACACTGCAGCTCTGCGTGCAGCGCCAACCCCGGGTCTTCTCAGCCTGCCCTTCCCAATGTGAAACCTCTCCTGTGAGTGAGTTGGGGCAAGGGCCATCAGAGCCACAGTCCTCTCAGTGAGCTGCAACTGGCGGAGGAGTGGGGAAGGGAGGTGAGTCCTCCAGGCAGGGCCTACCTAGAATGGAGCTTCTACAACACCAGGCTGGAGGGGAAGGAGCAAGGAATGCCATTGGCAGCACGCCCTTCCCAGGTGAAATCACAGCCCTAGACTGGGGCAGGGGGTGGGGGGAGGAAGCACCCACCTTCCTGATGCTCATACTCAGGCACTACTCCTGCAACATGGAACTGGGAGTAGAGTGAGTGGGTCAGAGAAGTAGGTGGTGCTGAAACGCCACAGACTTGCTGTTCTTATGAAATGTGACTGATTATGTTAAATGAATATTTCTCCATTTGCTCTATGCCCTGAGGACAATTTCCATAGTC